CAGGTGTGCATTACGCCTGCTGGGATCGCCGACATCCTCACTTTACTTTTAGAATTGCTGAAGGACAAAGTGTTATAGTAGTACTTAGACAGGAAGGATTCAGAATGATGGGCAGACAAGAACTTTATTTTCTTTTGAAAATAACTTTATGGCTCTGGTAAAAATAATACCTGTTTATTGCAAAAAGTTCAGCATTTTTTTTCTTTGGTACCAGGGATCGAACTCAGGACCTTGGGCTTGCAAGGCAAGCACAGCATTTTTTCAAAAAAAGAGAAAAATAAAAAGAAGAAAGAATCAGAGATAGAATTTAAAAAAAAAACCAAAAAAACACCTCCCTTTTAAAATCACCAGAAATCCAACTGGTTATAGCTCTCATTTCCATTTTTCAGGCATGTTTACAAACTTACATACATATTTAGTTCAACATACAGTGTTTCTTTATAAACTGGGTCATACTTCAGGTGATCTTCCAATAGCTATTTTTCAAGCATTTCTTTACATACAAATAAGTTGTGGAAATAAAGGTCACTGTCATTACTCTTTGCAACTGCTTAATATTCCCTTGTATGAGAGCACTGTAGTGCATTTCATTGAGCCGTGTTGAAAGACGTGCAGGCTGTTTCCCACAGTCCTATGCAGAGACATTTAGAAGAGTATGCTGTGTGCTTTGGATAAATGTGCGTGGATCCCCTTGGTACTCTCAGAAGGTCTGATTTCTGGACAGTCACAAGAATGTGCATTTGATACATGTGACAAACTCCCTTCCCCACGTGTGGCTCCACCAGGACCAGGTTCCACCAAGACTAACCTAATCAATCTTTGATACTCGGATAGACAGAGGAATCCCAGCAATTTCATTTCTGGTTTTTGTTGATTTTAAATCTTTAGTGTATGTTTATCTTCTATTTGCATTTCTGAGAAGATAACATGTATAAGACTCGTAGCTTTGAAGCATGAGTTAGGTACAAAAAGGCTCATCCTGGCATTTATTGTATCAGTTAATAAGCAGAAGCATCCAAGTGGGGAATCAGTATACCAATTAAGACACAAACATATGATGTAATATTTACTTTGTTGCCACAAATTGTATATTGGATGAATATTCAATAGTGTGGGAAAAACGATTGTACTTTTTTTTGAGGAAAGCTCAGAATGTAAAATGACTTACAGAATCCCAACTGTGAGATACCTATCATCTATCTATAGATATATAGATAGAGATATAAACATAGATAGACACAGACACGGACACGGATCACTTCCAAGAGAACAAACAAGGCTTGGGGAAAATTTAAAAGACTAGAAGGTAGTACAAGAAGTCTTTAATGGTAGCTATCTCTTCCCCCTTCCCTGTCTTTTTTCTTTGTCTTCTGCTTCTCCCCCTCTTCTTCCTCCTTTGCCTCCTCTTCTTTCTCATCCACCTTTTCCTTCTCCTCTTCTTTCAGACTGAAGTTTCTAGCAGACTGGAGTAATACTCAGCCTTTGGTTGGTGTGCTTATTATCTTTGGTGTTTGCGGTCCCTTGCCCTCAGTGGCTTGAGGTGATCAGGAATAGTTCCCTTGCTCAAAGGAAGCGGACTTTGCCGTGGGCTTTGGCTCACGCTGGTACTGAGCATGCCCAGTAGTGTGGGTGATATGGTAGGGCGACACTGCTGCTTGGAAAGAGACTGCCATCGGGCAGGGAGAGAGAACACGAGTGCACACATCTGCAGAGTGAGAAGGGCAGTGTGGCAAAGCATCCTCGGCCTCGTCTTGAAAACTAGACTTCTATAGGTAACAGTTGTTGGTTTTTCTTTTCTGGTTCTATAAGAAATAGTGTTTACTCTGAAAATCAGAAAGTGGAAAAGATGCCAATAGATATGCACAGGGCCATTATCGTGTATGGGGCCTTGTGTTAAACCCTGTGCAGGGAAAGACTGAATTTAACCCTGCAACCCCAGAAGCTGGGCGTGGCTATGTGGAGCAGGGAAATGGAGGTGCAGACAGGTTGGATGAACGACTTGGGTATTGGATTGGAAAAGCAGCAGAGGCAGAACTGGAACCCACCCTGACCTGGAGCCAAAGGGGAAAGTGACCTACAGGACACCCACTGATCTCAGGGGTTGATGTGTTTGTTTTCCTGAGTTCTTCTGTCTCTTGTGCTCTCTCCTGAGCAGTCGTCAATCAGGTGCTAAGTGAATGCTTGGGCTGGATGAGAGGACCAGGAAACGCAGAGAAGGGAAGGGTCCTGGGAACAAGCCCCGCCCACCAGAGAAGAGTCCCTGGACCTTCCCCCACCAGGACCAGGTGCAGAGTAGATGGCACCGGGGACATTTCACTGCGGGGGCAACTTGCCGCCTGTACTTGGATGACCAGAAGGAAGGCTCTTTCCAGATGGAGAGGCCAGAGGGTGAGTGTCCAAGCAAAAGCATCGCAAACATCTGCAGCACATCTGGAAAGGTGCATTAGATGCAAGAGACGACCTGCTAACTCTGAAAACCAGCAGGTGACTCCAGGATGGCCAGTGCCTTGAGTGTGTGAGTCAGTGTGTGAGTCTGTGTGTGAGTGTGTGTGCAGGAGGCCGGTGAGAGACCACTGAGGAAGACAGAATTCAGGTCATTAAAGCCCGTCCACCCCTCACAAGAGTGCTGGAGTGTTGGGGAAGAGAGCCGAGCAGAGCAGAGCCTCAGCAGCACGCTGTGCTGCAAGACACCGGGGAGCCTTCAAATTTTTTGATATGATGGTTTTTGTTGAATAACAAAATGAGGACCAGCTTTTAGAAGATTCTCAGGCTGGATGGTTTGGACAGAAGAGGCAGGCGAGGAGACAATTTGGTAGAAAGTTAGAATCATCAAAGCAGGAAGTGAGGAACATATGTATCAGGATCGTAGTTACAGGTGAGGGCGGGTTTGGGCTCACAGGTATGAGAAACATCAGGCGATCCCCTGGCTCTCCCTACCCTGCTTTCGGAAATATCATCCACAAATAAAAAGTATTTATATCTAAGGCTCACTACATGCCCTTTGGGCACATATGTACATCATGAGTGATTACACCGCCATCGAGGTAATCCACATACCACTTCCTGAGTCAGCTTTTTATCTGTGTGTGCTGAGAAGGCTTAGAGTTACTCTCTGAGCAAATTCCATGCATACACTACATTATTATTAACCACGGTTGCCTAGATCGTCAGAACCCTCCATATTTTAACTGCAGTTTGTGCTATTGACCAGTAACTATTTTCCCCACCCACCATTCTATTCCGTTACTGTGAATTTGATTTTGTAAAAAAATTCACCTGTAAGGGAGATAACAGAGCACGTGTCTGTGTGTGGCTTATTTCTCTTAGCACAAAGTCTTCTGGATCATTGCATTGTTGCAAACAGCAGGATTTCCTTCTTTTTTAAAGCCAAATAATATTCTATCGTGTACAGTGCAGTTCTCTAGTGGACACTTAGGTCGTTTCAATATCTTGGCTACTGTGCGCGAATAATGCTCTGATGAGCTGGGAGTGAACCCAGCTCCTCCGGACGCTGACCTCATTCCCGGGATATTTTCAGAAGTGGAATTGCTGCACCACATCGGAGCTCCGGTTTTAATTTGAGGAACCTCTAACATCATTTTCTACAGTGGCTAGACCGATTTAGGTCCCACACCTGCAGGGTGGGAGAGCGCCTGTGCACGTTCCTCCACATTCTCCGGTGTGAGTCGGCATCTCACTGTGGTTTTGATTTGTGGGTCCCTGATAATCAGTGAGCCTGGCACACCTGGTTGAATAGTCAAGCCAGCCCTTCAGAAGCACGTTTCCCTCATCAAACTTGGAGTGATTATTTATTGAGTAACTGCTCTGTGCGGGCCTGTGCTTGGCAAACCCTACTGTGGCAAGAGCTCAGAGATCCGAGCGACCCAACCTCATCTAGGGAGTCTGCGGGGCTTCCTGCAGGGGGGACCGCTAAGCCCAGAGGTGTGGGTAGGGACAGGCAGTAAACACACAATGCCATTTGACCCTGAAATGCAGCCAAGGCCTGCATAGATCTCATCCTCCTCTGAGCGAAGTCACCCCTGCAAAGGCTGAGCCAACCGGAAGGTAAGACGCCGAGTGAGCCCCGCCTCCAGCACACCCTGGCCTTGGAAGCTTGGGCGCAGAGTCTCTCTTCCTGCAGAGCCAACCCTGGCTAGTGGTGCGGGGGCAGGTGGCTAAGCCCGGTGCGCTCGCCCGGCAGTGGCGCCGGCCCCCGGCCCCCCACGCTGGAGCCAACCCGGGCTGAGGGAGCGCGCGAAGACAGCCGCAGAGGGACCCGCGACACGCGCGCTGTGACCGCGGGGAGCACGCCTCGGAGGGGAGGCCACCGCTCCAGCCGACCACCCCCCGGTTCCGGCCCCAGAGCCCGGAGGCGGGAGCCGCAGCAGGGCGCAGCTCCGCTTCCCGGCGCCTGGCGCCGGGCGGGCCCCTGATCCCCAAGCCGCCGCCCCCCAGCGCAGCCTTGGTCCAGGCTGGGGGCGTGCCTGGAGGCGGGGCCACAGGCCTGGAGGAATTTGAAAAGAAACTGCAAGTAATTAGCATCCTCCGCTGCCATTGGCTCTCCGCGGCCCTGCTTTGCATACGCCCGCCCCCCGGCGGCCGGGGTGCGCTGGGCTCCGCGGCGTCTGCAGCCGGCCCGGCGGCCCGGCTCAGTGCGGGGCGAGCGCGACCCCGAGCCGAAGCCCGAGCTAGCGGCGCCCGATCAGCGGCGTCTCCGCCCTGCGCACCGGGGGACCGGCGCTCAGGCCTCGGCACCCATCGCGGCCGAGCTGACACTTCTGATTCCGGGTGACGGGGTGAATCCGGGCGCGAGCCTCCGCCGGCCTCCTGGAAGATGCCTGCAGCCTCTGCCCCGTGCCACCCGGCGGCCGCGGCGCGCGCGGGCAGCCCCGAGTGGTAACCCCGGGGCCGCGCCCGGGCCGAGTGAGCCGAGGCGGGGACCCCGCCGCCCGCCGCCCTCCGTCTGGCTCCTCGCGGCCGCAGCATGAGGTGGCGCAGCGATGGCCAGGAGAGGTAAGAAGCCCGTGGTGCGCACGCTGGAGGACCTGACGCTGGACTCGGGTTATGGTGGCGCGGCGGACTCGGTGCGCTCCTCCAACTTGTCCCTGTGCTGCTCCGACTCGCACGCGGCGCCCCCGTATGGCGGGAGCGGCTGGCCGCCCCTAGCCGACTCCATGCACGGCCGGCACGACAGCTTCGACACCGTCAACACTGCCCTGGTGGAGGACTCCGAGGGGCTGGACTGCGCCGGCCAGCACTGCCCGCGGCTGCTGCCGGACCTCGACGAAGTGCCCTGGACGCTGCAGGAGCTCGAGGCGCTGCTGCTGCGCGCGCGCGACCCCCGCGCCGGCCCCCCGGGCCCCGGCGGGCTCCCTAGGGACGCGCTGGCGCGGCTGTCGGTGCTGGTGAGCCGCGCGCTTGTGCGCATCGCCAAGGAGGCGCAGCGCCTGAGCCTGCGCTTCGCCAAGTGCACCAAGCACGAGGTGCAGAGCGCCATGGAGATCGTACTGTCCTGGGGGCTGGCGGCGCACTGCTCCGCCGCCGCGCTGGCCGCGCTGTCGCTCTACAACATGAGCAGCGCGGGCGGCGACCGCCTGGGCCGCGGCAAGTCGGCGCGCTGCGGCCTCACCTTCTCCGTGGGCCGCGTGTACCGCTGGATGGTGGACAGCCGCGTGGCGCTGCGCATCCACGAGCACGCCGCCATCTACCTGACGGCCTGCGTGGAGAGCCTGTTCCGGGACGTCTATGGGCGCGTCGTGGCCTCGGGGCTGCCCCGCGGCTGCGGCGGCCCCGGCCCCGGCCCCGGCCCGGGCTCCAGCTCGGGCTCCGGCGCAGCGCCCTCTGCGGACGCGGAGCGTGAGGCGGCCGGAGCGGGCAGCATCCCCAGCAGCGCAAGCGGGGGCAGCAGCTGCTGTGCCCCCCCGGCCCCGGCCACCGCCGCAGCCCCGCCGGCCGCCGCCAACCACGGCCACGCGCACTACGCACTGCACGAGGCCCCGCGGTTCACACTGGAGACGCTGGAGCACACGGTCAGCAACGACTCGGAGATCTGGGGGCTGCTGCAGCCCTACCAGCACCTCATCTGCGGGAAGAACGCCAGCGGTGAGTGCGCGCCCGCCCACCTCCGAATCCCGAGGCTCCCAGGCCCCCGCGGGCGCTCCCGGCCAGGGACTCCCGCGCGTGGCGCGAGGCGGGGCCCCGTTTGGGATTTTGGTTTGAGGTCCTTGCACCCTGCACCCCGTGTATCTGCTGCTGTGACTGTGTTGACCTTTCACGCCCCAAGCTCCATGCCCACGAGTTTGGCTCCCGGACTCGGGGTGAGGGGGAGCGCCCCTCGGCCTCCTCTGTGAGGTCCCTACCTGTGCCCCCCACCCAAACTGGTGCGTGGGGAAGAGGGGCGGGCGGGTTTAGAGCTGGCTCAGCCCAGACTCCAAGGCAGGAGGGTGGCTGGGCCAGGCCCCTCGGCTCCAGGCTTCTCCCCGGGCTCCGAGCCGCGCACCGTGGCTCTCAGCAGTGGAAGCCGCCTGCGCCCCGTCCTCCCCGCGCTCCCCCTCGGTCCCCGCGGAGAGCTGCAGCTGTCACCGCAGGGGATGGGCTCGCGGACCCGGGCGCTCGCTCGGAGGGCTCAGCGTGGGGCGCCCTTCCGGCGGCGCTGAGCCCCTCCGCAACCCTGGCCGGGTGGGTTAGGACCCGCAGCTCCTGTGGCGGCGGCGATGGGCGGGAGCTAGTTTTGGAGCGCCAGCGCAGGCCGGGCGAGACACTTCAAAGCTTCAGTTTTCCACAGGAAATGGCAGAAGCGTAACCCGAGATTCTGAAAGCGAAATAAAACTTTGTTACATATGCGGCGGTTTGGCCTGAGGTTGGGGGGCTGGAGCTGAAATGCAGGCCATCTGGGCGGATTTCATTCGTGTCGTGACCTGCCCGCTGCTTCCCGAGCTGCAGGAGCGCGGCGGGCGCGGCTCGGCCGGGTGCCGAGTGTGCGCGTGTGCGAGTCTGTGCACCGTGAGTGTGCACCACGAGTGTGCGCAGGAGCAAGCCGGCGCGGGGGCAGTGCAGCCCAAGCCCCTGGGAGACAGATCCCGCGGCCCTGCACCCCTCGCTGGTAGGGGAGGGGAGAGAAGCAAGAGCGAGCGCGCGTGTGTGAGTGTATGTGTGTGTGCGTGTGTGTGTGTGTCCCCGCGTTGATCCCTGAGACTCTTACTCTTTGGGATCGCCGCCAGCCCCGGCCCCTCTGCTGCCAGCCGAAGGAGGGGCGGGAACCCTAATGGCTATCTGCGTGGCCCAGCGTGTACACACACACACACACACACACACGCACACACACGCACACACACACGGGCGCGACATCCGGACTTAGAGTGGAAACATCTGGGCGAAGTCTCGGCTTTGTATGGCTGTTTGAGAAGGGGATTCACCTGCAGACCCTGGGACTGGGGAGTCTTTGGGTGGAAGTCCGGGCCCCAGAAAGGCAGCGGGGCTCGGGGATGCCCCACTGCATCACCCCATGCCAGCCTCCCCTGTCCTCCCCTCCTTCTTGGGCTGGAAACTGCAGCTTTGACTTCTCCGGACCTCAGTCTCCTCACCTGCAGAGTAAGGAGCTCTGCTGGTGGCCTCTGCGTGTCTTTTCAGTAGATTCTATCTTTCTGACCCTTCAGGTCTTTTAAAGACTCTCCCATCAGCCTATGTAAAGACAGTTGTTTGTGTTTGCTCTTTTTGGAACAAGTGTCATTTGAGGAGAGAGGCCCAGAGCTGGTTTGGGGCAGGGCGTGTGCAGCTGGGACTCACTGCCATCCTGGCTATGCCCATACCACAGAGCTCAGCAACCAGGTCGCTGGGCCTTCCGCCTTCCCTGGCTTGGAACATGCTGTCATTTCCTTGTGATCTCTTCATCTCCTTTCTCTGGGCTTGTTGGGAACGGCAGGGCACACATGCAGTAGTGCTGAGGAATGCGTGATTAAGGCCTCAGGCATCTGAGACACACGGTGAGCCTATTTCTCCCAGGGTGTGCGTGCTGTCTTCCCAAGCAGAGGAGTTGGAAGGTAGCTTTCATGGTAGATTCCCTCTGACTCGGCATCACGTATGTATCCATCTGTGAACTCATTTGTTCGTCAGTGTTTACTGAGTCGTCTGTAAATGCCAGGGACTGTGCCGGCTCTGGAGAGGGGTGATAACAGCTGCTCTGTGCCCAGCATTACTCTCACTATTGACCCGCTTGATCCTCAGTGTTCCCTCGAAAAGGTACTAGCAGCGCCTCATTTACAGAAGAACCAGCAGAGGCGGGGGACTTGCACATCTTGCTTGTTTTAATGTGACAGTCCAGGGTCCACTCGCTTAGCCACTGTCTAAAGGGCTCTGGTGACAGCTGAATCCCTGCCTGAGGCCGGGCCACCTGCTCCTCAGTGTCCACACAGTTGAGACCCTCTAGCCTGACACACTTTCTCTCCCAATGTATATTCCCTTTGTTCTTACCAAATGGAACGGGGCCATACCTGCTTTACATTTGAATGTCCACTGGCAAGCTCAAGAGAACTCCTAGGCTTGGATAACTGGAGCGTACTAGATGCCTGCTGAGTTGAGCAAGCCATTGTACTGCATTACTCACCTTTCTGCTCCTGACGCTCACAATTTAAAGCAGGAGCGGTTTATTGTGGCTCACGGTTTCAGAGGTTTTAGTCCATGGTTGACTGTTCCAAGCAGAAAATCAAGACAGAAGGGCCTGGTGGAGCAAAGCTCCTCACCGCATGGCAGCCAGGAAGCAGAGAGCAAGGAGGAGCCAGAGAGAGTGTGTGGGGACACTTCCTGTCTGAACCATGACGTGTCCGATATCCCATAGTGATGTCCCGAGAGACCCATTGCTCCTTGAGCTTCCGGGAGTCATTCTACCTTGGTTGTTCCTTCCTCCTGTCATCTGCGAATCTGCCCATCCTCTCATTTGCTGCTGTGAAGCTGCAGTCATGTGGGGCTGGGCTCAGAAGACAGACGTCACAGTTGGCCTCCCAGGTCACAGGGATGCATGCACTTGAGGGGCAACCTTGTGGATTTTTCTCATGTTGGCTTTTGGTTGTTTTGAAGAGCCTGGGCAACAGCCGAGCAACCCCAAGGAGTCGTGGTGTTTCTGTGGGGTTTGCACCTCAGACTCCCTCAGAGCTGGCCAGGCCTGCCTATCCCGAAAGCTCTGGCTGGGGAACCCTCTTCCCAGCATCCCTGAGGGCTTCCTCCATGCTGCCCCTGCCCCACACCCACATGCACCTGGTGTTTTCTTCCCTATTACTCCCCACAGCACCTAGCCTGTCCTAGATGCTCCCTGACGTTTGTTGAATGAATATGAAACTTACCCATCAGCCTCTGTAAAGAAACCTGTTAAGGAAGCAGCCTCTGAAGTCTGGATTTGAATGTCATAGCTGTCGCTCTATGGCTGTGTTTTCTTAGGTAAGTTACCTAACCTCCCTGAGGTCCAGTTTCCGAAGCTGTGAAATGAAGGTAATAATTAGGAGGATTAACTGAGATTCTGTGCTTGGAGGATATCACAGTCTGGTGCCTGACACACGGCAGTGGCTAAAATGGTGATGGCAGTTGTGATAATCAGACATAGTCATATCTCATCTTCACGTCCCAATGGAGTTGTCCCCCCTGCTCACGGCGGAGCTTGCAGGACCCCCCTTTTTATATTCCCAACACCAGATAGTTCAGCCCACCCCCAGGATCCACCTCTGGGCATAGCCCGAGGCCATGCCAAATGCATAAAAAAATAATTTTGACCAAAGGAAAATAGCCTTTTGTTTTTCTAAAGTGGTGGGGCAAACCCAGCGCCTTTTGCATGCTAGGCAAATGCTCTACTGCAGAGCTACACCCTCGGCCTGGAAAGCAGTTTGTTGCATTTGCTGTATTTTGTTTTTGATGTAACAGACATCTTTAGGGAACAGGGCACAGGGTGACGTCCGACAGGTGGTAGACGTGTCCCTTCTGTGGCCAAGTGGGGTCCAGAGTTTCTCTGCCTGTCAGGACTCACTTCCTCTGGCTGAGATTTGTGCATTTCTGTGTTGCGTGATACACTTCAGTTAAAAAAAACACCAAGAAAACAGCCACAGGTATTCCGGGATGAAATTTTGTTTTCAGTGCAGAAAGAATCAGAAGGGAGGGGCAGAGGCGGGTGGTGGGGTTGGCTGGAAGGACTTCACAGTGACATCTGGCCTCCGAGTTCAGTTCAGCTGCTTTCTAGCAGGTGCCTGAATTTTGCTGAATTTGGCTTTCTCGCCAGAACAGTGATGATTTCATTAAAAGCCGTACAAAGGAAGAAACCCCCAGCCCAGCCCCCAGGCAGTGACAGGCTCAGCAGAGGCACGGTGGATGAGAGGCAGCCCCATGGGCACTGGGTGACAATGGCTTCCTCAGACAACACATTGCCTGGGCTGCTGGTGACAGTGCACTGGGAAGTTTGAGGAGTCACTTCGGTTTCGGGGATCCCCAGGCACCTTATAAACGTTAATTAGCACTGTGCCAGCCCCGGCTGGATGGGAGGTTGGCTTTGGGTGCTGTGCTTTCTGTCGCCCAGGACTCAGGCTTTGCCCCCTCCGCAGTTTTCCTGTCCCCAACACCTCCGGGCCATGCTGGTCCCCAGGGCAGCTTTGCTGTGGGGACAGAAATGTCACCCGAGAAACTCAGCTCTTTCGGAGCAACCGCAAAAGCTATCTCAAGAGCCAGCCCCACCGAGTCTTTGTTCTCATAGCACGTTTTTAATTAACTGGCTCAATGTAAATTACAACTTGGAATTTGGGTCAGTAGAGGGTTATTTGGTTTTCTGCACAGACTTGTCAGTTCCATGCTGGGGTGTTTGTGAGTTGGGTGTCTCCTGAAACCTAAAGAAGAAATAGGGCAAATAAGCCATGAGGGACCAAATTGGACACCTGAGGTCAAGGCAGCCCTTTGAGTAGGAGCAGACGCTAATTCCTGGTCCATTATCATTGGTCACTTTGCCAGACCCATCTGTAAAATGGGTCTGATTCTCACCACTGCCAGGTAAATATAAAACAGCAGGGGACTCGGGGGTGGACACATCTGTGAGCCCAGCCTCCTACCTGTACAGTGGGTACTGAGGCAGTAAT